TAGCAACAAATGGCAGCCAGACTACATTGAAGAATTGGCAGTTAATGACAGTTGGCATCCAGACATCTTTGTAGAATTCTTGACTCTCTATAGATAAAGAGCCATAAGTCCATGTGTTTGCCATACGCTAAATGAAGAAGATAAGGAAAATTTGAGTTCAGACAGAATTATGTAAAATTTATGATAAGACCAGCAGTGGTAGAAGTGGAATTGCATTGAGTTTTTAATGGTTTAGAATTAGCCGGCTGTGAAATCAAATTCTAGTAGATAGGAGTGAAGACACAAATGACCAAAACGTCCATCTTGTCATTCAGAAGGGGTCCATGATTTGGGTCTCCCCCTGGAGTTATGACTCCTGCTAAAAATTCAGGTAGAAGCAATGAATTGGAAGTCATTTTGTCCAGTTCTTATTAATGCACCAATTGTCACCTTTCCTGGAATGGATCGCTACAGTGACTTCAGAAAACAGGTGAACAGAGTTGGAAGGGACTTTGTATGTCATCTAACCCAACTGTCCCACCCAAGCAGAATACCCTAGACCATTTCTGACAAATAACAGCCCAATCTCTTCTTGAAAGCCTCCAGTGATGAAGCTTCCACATCTTCCGAAGGCAACTTCTATTCCATTGGTTGATTTTTCTCACTGTCAGAAAATGTCTCCTTATTTCTCGGTTGGTTCTCTCCTTGATCAGTTTCTATCCATTCTTCCTTGTCTGGCCTTCGGGTGCCTTGAAAAATGGCTTGCCCCCCCCTCCTCTTGGTGGCAGCCCCTCAAATATTGGAACACTGCTATCATGTCTCCCCTGGTCCTTCTCTTGTTTGTTTATGTGTTAAATTTATTTGCTGCCTATCTCGCCATGGAGCTCTTCTAAGCTGCTTACAATAATGAAAAGAAAAGGGGTACAAATAAAACTGAAGTAAGATAATCGAACAATGAAATGAACAATGGCAAATGAACACAACAAGAACAATACATCTGTAGGAGAAGACCAGGCTGACCCTGAAGGAGGGTCAAACACATCATCAGTCCTGAATCCCTTTGTACGAGAGTGAAATGCTACCAGTTCTGGGGGGGGGGAATGCCACTGGTTCCCAGAACTGGTAGTAAAAAATACTTTAAAAAGCTCCCATGATCGCCTGTTGCACAACTGATTATTGGAACATTTTTTTTACTACAGGTTCTACAGAAATGCAGGGGGAGGGGTCCATTTTTGCTTCCAGCATGCTTCTCTGAGGCCTGCTAGGCCAAAATTGGGGGGTGGAGGGTACTGAGAAGAAAGAAGAAAGAGAGAGAGACAGAGAGACAGAGAGACAGAGAGACAGAGAGACAGAGAGACAGAGAGACAGAG